AGTTCGAGAGGTAGGGCTCAAGTTTCTGTTAAGTGGACTCTGGAGAATCAGGGGACACAGGGCGAGCATCGGGACAGAGATCTGGAATCGGATTCCACCAAGCGCACGTAACCTCCCTAAGCGACATCTACTGCTTCGTTTAGTATTGCGCACGAGTCAGCTCCCAGTTCCCCCTAGCAGCAGACAGTAGAGTTCCCAGAGAGCCCAGCAGCTGAGTTTTCTAGGCTCCCGCACACCACTCCCGCCTGGACACTGTATTCGGGCCAGAGCCTCAGATGCACTTTGCCTTGAAAGAGTTCCGACTCTAAAAAACTCTCCCCTTGGATCCCTCATCTCTCTCTCTCTCTCTCTCTCTCTCTCTCTCTCTCCCCCCTCTCTCTCTCGTTTTAGGATCTTTTACTTTTCTCCTTCGCAAACATGTGCAGAATTTTCTGGCACAAACGCACTGGTACATCAAGCGGGAGGTGTAGGCAGGCCCGCGTGTCAAGCCAAGAGGATCCGGGTGACTAACCAGCGCCTTTGTGCCACTGCCTGATATTCCCTGACAACGCGCCCCCCCCCCCGCCCCCCACAACTCCCCCTCCGCCTATGAACTTGGAAAGAGACTTTCAGGCCAAGATGGAACCTCCCGGTCTCAGGAAGGCGATTTCTGTATATTTCTCGGGAAACTGCGCTGGCTGGGTCAGGCAACGCAATCCTTTTCCGATTGTGGAGAGACCCCAACTGGGCCGGCTGCCTACAGCCCTTCCCCGAACCCCAGCCCAGCCGACTGCGGCCGACACCTGAGCGCCTGGGCAGGGCTGTTCGCGGGGGTAGGAGCGCTGCCTGTCCAACAGGCCCGCCAGGCATCCGCGCCGTGGACCTTAGGGGGAAACCAGGGGAGGGGTGTCAAGCCAAACCTCGACATGGGTGCATCTACGTTTATGATCTCTAAATGAAGTGTGAGGGAAATTGTGTAAGTATAATTTAACTCAAAGAAATTTCCTGCGAAATACATTTTGATGACCATAGACTTTTAACAGCCCTAGGGGTTCTCCGGCAAGCCTGAGAAACCAGCTTGGAGTTACCTCAACTCTGCTGCCACATTCTCAAATTTGGAAAAGGCCAGTGTGAGGTTTTTAAATATATATATATATATATATATATATATATATATATATATATATACACACACATATATAATTTATTTTGTATTGTTGCTTTCTGGTAAATATTCTCTTTTGTTTTCTAGCAGAGCTGAAAATAAAAAGTTTCAGGTAAGTCACTCCTTTTCAAACAACCAAGAATTTCAAAGCACTAGGAAGACTGTTTTACTCTTTAACTATGATGTGTCAGACTGCCTTATAGATGTACTTTAAATTACCTACACACAGCTTTTCTTTAAAGAAATAGTTTGTGTGTCGGCTTAAAGTAAACTCTTATTAGTTTTGAAGTGTCTTATTTTCTTCCCTTCATCCCTCCCCTCTTTTCCATTTATAACTGTGACCCTAATGCTATTCCTAGGCCTTTATGGGATTAATTCTGAACCATCAAGGGTCTAAAACACTTTTACAATGTAATTACAGTAGTACAAATTGTTTGCCCAAGCCTCGTTCTGGATAAGGATTTTACAATTAGCAAACAGTTATTACAGTTGGGGCTTGCTGAGAGGAATTGCGCAGAGGACACGTCTAGAGTTGCAATCTAGTAGCCATAAAAAAAACCCCTCCTTTATCAGGGTAGCAATTAATCACTTATTAAAAAGAAAAGGTAAAGGGATAGTTCTAGTTATGTTAGTAAACTACTATGCATATTTATACCTGTGCTTTGACAGGCACCTCTCAGCTTATTTCAGATAGTTGCTTTTTAAGGCAGTAACACTTTATCTAGGGAAAACTTGGCCTGGTGAAGGGTTTTGGCACTTGCCTCTGGTTCTTGCACATGGGCCTTCCATACTCCACTTACCCTTCATATCCCAGAGCACCTTCCCAAATACAGAGAAGGGGGACTTTAAAGAGGCAGTCTGAGGCCTATGTCTCCGTTGTTTACACCCTCCTGCAAGGAGGCTTTTAAAGTAAGTGGTGCCTCTCCAGGCTGTTGCTACAGTCCTGACTGAGAATTCTCTTCTCATTTTCTGTTCTCCTATAGGGAACTGTGCTTTCAAAAGAACTATATCCTGAACTAGGCTTTTGTCGCAAAGTTACACTGATGAACAGCTCTAAATCCCTCAGAAATTAAAAAGAGGCACCTCTTAAGGTAAAATGTGTGTGTATTTGCCAGCCCAGAATAAACAAAAGCCTGCTAATCAATCGAGTTTGGCAGCTGTGTTCACGGAATGATAAGGGTTTATCATCTGCCACCTAACTTTCAGATCCCTGAGAAAATGTTGGGATCGCTCTTTCGGTTGTCCTGTGGTGAGGAGGCTTGTGACTTGTACCTCAAGAACTTTCATCCTCCACGTCTCCCCTGCTGCATTAACATTTACATTTCAAAAAAACAGAAATAAGAGCAGGGAAAGACAGTTGAAAGAAAAATAGATTTAAAATCTAGTAGAGATAATGGAGGAATGCTGGAGATAAGAGCCTGGATGTGATATGAGAAAGGTACCAAGAAGTCCAAGCTAATGAATGGCTGTGAGAAAAGTGAAATAAACTATTTAGAGGTCTATAAAAGGGAGAAACCTGGTTAGGTGCTATGAAAGGTGGTTAACCTCGGGGATTAGGAGAGACGTTAATCAAGTGCCCCAGAGCAATCTGGGCTGTAAGAGCTGGGGGATTTGTTTACTGCATTTTGCTTCAGAAAACAAAGAATGTCTGAGTCCAGTTCAGGAGTCAGTGAGAGGTCAGCTCAGGCTCTCCAACTGTCCGAGGGAAAAAGCTAATTCACTGTATTCTGGCTGGATCATGCAAAAGTTAAGAAAAAAGGGTGGGGGTGTTTTCCTAACTATCTTTCTATTTCAAATCATTAAAGCACTTTGGTCTCTAGAGAGGGAAAAATTACACTGGTTAACATAATTACTGGGTCTGACATTTTCAGAAGTTATAGAGGTCTTTTATTAATTAAATGGAGGGTTTAATAAAATATTCCTAATAAAATTTATGGTTGTCTTAAAACTTTCTAAACAGTGCTATAAATTCTTAATAAAATTAACTGGGAAATGAGTTATTAGCCCACACTTTACCCTCCCCCCCACACACACTTCTACATAAGGAGTGTCTGCAAAATGAAAAGGGAAATAGAAGCCTTTTAGTAAAATATAAATATTAGCCAAAGTCACACATTGTTTTAGAAGAGGCAAAGTTTCAACTAAGTTATTTCTAGTGGCTCTATCCTCCAATATCCTTCAAAAGGTACTCACAAAACTTTTAGAGAATTTCTTCCCCTTCTCGGCTGCATATTATATATATGTTCATGTATATCTAAGTTCATTGGAAATACAGTGTTTACTTGTCTGGACTGAGTTACATGTTAACTGTAATCAGAAGCATAGATGCATCATGTGAAATTCCAATTTGGAATTTTGAAGGTTAACATTGTAAATGTTTTCTTTATCCATTAGAAGATAATTAAAATGAAATGCCCAATAATGTCTGTCAATTTAATTTCTTTAAAAGAAATTTAAAGAAAGTTTAAATAAACTTCTCAGTCACACTTCCCTGGGAACTCTTCACTTATAACAGTTGGTGCATTACCTGAAGCAGCATTTGCTGTGTAAATATGAAAACTTTTTCCTATCACTACATTTTAAAGCCTTGGTGAATCATCTTAAGTTTGAGAGACATGTCTCTGCTTCACAGATACAACACTGGCTGGCTGGCTGTTCAGAATGAACAACATAGTCAAACACTCCAAACCAAACAAAACAGCCTTGGGAGGATTGTTCAGCATTTGAAGGCTTGATCTTTTGTGCCGTCTACTGGACAATGGAAAAACTACAGCCTCTATGATTTGAACTTTTCTCTTGTCCAGTGTTGGGGGGTGGGGAGAGATGGGTAGGAGGGGCAGTGGGAGGGGGAATGTGATCTGGCGCTGATAAACAATAAGACAGGACCACAAGACCCAGTTTAGACTCACATACAACAGGCCTTGTGACTTCAAATCTTCAAATCCAAGTTTAGGACTTATGTTAAGGGTAGGCACACCTCAACTTCTTGACTAAGGCACAAGGCTAAAACCTACATTTTACACAGCTGTGATGTGTGTGTGTGCGCACGCACGTGCATACACACAAAGTCTGCTTGGGGAAGAGAAAGAAGGAAAAGATGGTGAGACAAGCTCAGCATCTCTGAAAGAAAAGTATTGGTGGTTGCTTGATAGTCAAGTTACGTGTACCTACTGCCCGATATTCCAGGACGTGCAAGTTCATTCTTGGAATTTGGAACATGATATTGTTCAATAATTAAGAAAAGTGCCTTTCTGAGGAGGGAAATGAAACTGCTAGTTAGAAAAATTTTGGTGCAGTTACTTTTTGGCAATCTTGGTTAAAAACATGATACTCCACTGTTTTCACTTGGAGACCACATGTGCGGAAAAAGTGAGGGTGAAATTCACAGTCAGATGCTTTTAAGTAACAGAGGTTGTTTGATGTTCTCTTAAACATTTAAAAATATTGTATACATTTTGGTTATGATTTAAAAAATATTTATAGAGATACAATATTATGGAAGCTTTGTACAAAAAAGGCATGGGGCTAACTTTGACCTCTGATATTGACATTGTTTCTGAATAACCACAAATTCCATACAGAAGTGATTTTGTAATTTAAGAAAAACATAAACAAAGCCCAATGCCAATATAATGGAGAAGTTAAGCTGATTTTGGTGAAAGAGACATAGACCTGGGTGCAGGCTCTCAAAACCAGTCATCTGCTTTTCTGATGTGAAAATTCCTCATTGAATTTTAATAAGACCTACTAACACATGACTCGTTGTGAGGGCTCCTTTTAATAACAACCTAATAGTGAAAAGGCGACAGCTTTAGGACATTTTATTGATGTATAAATATATTCCAATGATCTACTTCAAACATTCATTTTGATGTGGCACTGTGTCAGAGTATAGTGACTTTAAAATATTGTATTAAATATAGATATATCAGGGAACTTGGGCTGACATTGACTACTTAAAGCAATGAGACTGCTTCCGTGGCTGTGTAAAGAAACAGGATGCTTTCAGCTGTGCTGCAGTGCTGCCAGCGGTGGTGGTGGTGGACGACCACCTCTTTTCAACTTCAGCAGAATCAACTGAACTGTGCAAGATTATTTTGTGAGATGCTGTGTGGGTCCCTTGGTCCAGATTGAAACCGCAGCAATAAGGACCCTCCTGAGAATAGCTGGAAAACACAGAACATTCTTGCAGGAACCAATCACAAGCACTCACACATGTGATGCACTCTAAACTAGCGGGGGCTGGGGCGGGGGGGGGGGCACTGAGTGCGGGCAGGGCCGGGGAACAGCTCTGGTCACCAAACGCAAACATTTACCTTTGAAGCAACAGGATGGGCCAGACTGCTCATGGTTAACATTCAGACGCCACTGGATAAAGGGGCATGTTTTGTGAAAACCTCCAGGCCAAAAAATCGTACTCATTATTCAAAAATAAATATTGTAACATTTCATTGAGCTATCTAATGAGTAAGAAAAACGTCGAAGGCTTCCAGCCGCTCAGAAAGGATTCCAGCTGCCTGAACAACACAGAGACGTAAAGAACAAGAAGCTGAAGGGCGCCTGCCAAGTACTTACTTTCTTGTGAATACCTCAAAACATGCTTCTCCATGCTCTTATTTTAAAATGAAAAGTAAATATCATCTTTCCTTTCCTTTTTCAAAATATTAACGTCAGCTTCGGGTATACTTGCTAAAAATCATTTTCCCAGCCGGTGTATGTGAGAAAGGGCCCATTTGAAAACTTACAACTAATGGGAAACTACGAGCCGCAAACAAATCGGTTCACAGCTGAGCTCATGCCCCTGAGTGGGGTCCCTTCTTTAGAATTCGGCCAGGATAATTTCATTCACTCGCCGATGCGGCCACTTCCGGGACTCTTTCATGAGTGGGAGCTTTGCACCGCAGAGCTCTCAGCAGGGCCGTCCTGTCGCCTGTGCGTGTCAGGGGGCCAGGGCCCCGCAGCTCCCCGCCGCGCATTCTGGTCGCTGCGCGCGGAGCCATCCAGGCCAGGGCCTGCCTGCGCGCGGACTCCCAGGGTCTGATCCGGATCCCGACCGGACGCGCTTCCCGGTGGTGGGGGCTGCGGGCTCCGCTCACACCTGGCTTGGCGGTGGGGGCTGGGGGAACAGAGGTTGGTCTGAAGCAACGTGTTTCCCGAGGACCCCGAACCGTCTGGAAAGAGCGCGTGAAACGACCTCTGTCCTGCCAGCGTCCCCTCCCCCATGAGTTTTGACAGCCTCCCAGTCTTCTCTTTGTGGTTCGCGTCCGCCCGGGGTTGCGTGAGGACCTGCGGATGGGGACCTGGGCCTCTGTCTTCCGATTCTTGGGGCCGAGCACCCGAGGGCGCCTTTCTTCTTTCTGGACCGGGGACCCTGGCTCACCCCACTTGCCTCTTAGCCTAATTCTGGAAGCTTCTTGCCCCAGTTCCCGACGGCTCTTCTCTAGGGCAGCCGTGAGCCTCGGGGTGCCTCCCGTTTCTCGATTCCTCCTCCGAAACCAAGAGTGCTCCCGGAGTCCGTTGGGACGCGGGAGCCGTTGGGGACCCAGGTTGCCCAGTGACCCCTTCAGCCGCAGCGGCCCCTCGGAAGGGCTGGAAGGAGCGCGCGTTTGCGGCTCCGGTTATTATTTCAATGCGCTAAGGGGATTAGAAGCCGCGGGAGACTCGTGTGGGGACTGATGCTGTTCCTTCGCCCGCGGGGATTCCAGCCGCCGCTGCCGGAGGAAGGGGCGGCACGGCAGGCCCGGCTTCTCCCCGCTGCACCGCCCGCTCCGGGCGTCCGCGAGGTGCTGACACCTCGGAGGAGGCGGCGCCCCCAGTCCCCTGGGGAGGAGCGGCGGGGGCGGCCGGGTTGAAGCGGAGAGAGGTTGGAAGAAGGGAAAGAAAGGAGAGAGACGCTGTGACAGTGACAGAAACGGACAGAGGGAGGAGGAGATCTCGAGTGGCAGAAACAGACAGTCAGGAACTGCGACACCGAGGGAACCTGATCCAGCCCTGCCCGCCACCGGGACACAATAAAGTTGCCCCCGCGCACTCGGCCGCGCCAGGAAAGGGGAAACTCGCTCTTTATTCCCGAGAGCTGCTTTCTGCTTCCGAGGGAGCCTTATTATAGACTTTTGCATAATTGCCCATTGACTTTCCTAAATAGTTCCGCAGAGCTATTTGTGCTTCCACTTGTTCAACTGTGAAAAATTCCCTTGGGGAAAAGAAAAAGAAAAGAAAGTGTGTACGCGCGCGCGGGCGGTGGGGTGGGAACACTAAGGCCTGAGGCAGACACCAGGACCCGCTTTCAGAATGTCTCTTACACCGTCCGCAGAATGACCGACCTGCTCGGGAAAGTGCCCGTCTCTGCACGAGTAGGCGAGGTGATCGCTGCCCCCGGGGTCCCTGTCACAGCCCCGCCTTCCCCGCCTGCAGGAACGGGAAGATCAGGGCTGATGAGTGAAGGCGGTTGGTTCCACCTGCCCATTTCACAGACGGATGTTTGAGACCCAGAGGGGTTAAGTGATCGTATCCAATTCTCTCTCTTTTCTTCATGTCTCAAAGTTCTTTTTTATCTAGTCCCTCATTCCTTAAATAAAAAGACCCCCAAGTACAGAAGGCTTTCCTACTCGGTGTCTCCTGTCATAAGCAGGGGTGTGTGAAGATGATGGTCTTGTGTGAGTGTAGGGGCTGCGGGGTGGTTCCTGACCCCTCCCCCGGCCCAGTAACCGCGACGTTGAGTCCCTTTAGGAGAGCAGCAGGCAGGGGCCTGCTGGCCCGTGCGAGACCCTTCCCCCCACGGGGCAGGAGGGAAGGCGTGAGGACAGGTTGCACTTGGTGCTGACGGTGCTGAGGTCTCGCAGGCTTTGCATTTCTCCAACAACCCTCCACTCCACAAACAAAGAAACAAACAAACAACTCAGGCCTTTTTTTTCCCCTCATGACTTCCTATGACTGAATGACCCTAAGCAGAAAAGTGGTCCAGGTCACCCCCAGGGCAAAAGTAAGGATGTTCAAGGCCTTATTTACCCCAGGATTAAAAACAATATCCCCTCTAATTCTCTTCCTCCTCGGCAGCTTGCCTCTTAAGGATGTGAGAAGGAGTTTCTTGGAGTCTAAACAGACACAATACCCCTTTGGGATGTTTATGTTTCAGTTTTAGCCCTGCTTCCCTGAACCCCCTGCAATAAGCCTCAGGCTTCCAAACCCTTCACAAAGGCATCTGCATATTTTTTGGGCAAAATAAACTTTTGAGTAGCCACTTTTAATTCTAAGTATTTTCAGTTTTAGCTTGAATTTTACTTCTAAAACAAATTAGTTACGTATTGCCCTCTTCTCCTCATTCCCCAATTATTTTTAGCTTTTCATTCTAAACATTTTGTTACCTTGAATTCTGTCTTGATTTGATTGTATAGAAAACTTGATTGTAAGATTGTTATTTGCAGTAATCTACACATATTTTAGTTTTTGAAAACTTGGTAAAGTTTACTGATTTTTATATTTGTTGAGCATTAACAAAAAATAACAACACTCTTGGAGGTTTAAAACATAGTAATGTGCTGCGCCCTAGCCTAGATGCTTTGAGAAGCCCTAGCATTTTCTCACACACTTGTTGGTTCACACATCTGCCAGTTAAACATCTTTCAAGGAACCCAGGCCATTGTGATACACTGCCCTATCACCTATTGTATTTGCAACTATCAATATGCAGTGATTGTAGGCTGAAAATGAAGAATGGTCTTGGAAACTGGTTTCATTAAGAAAAAACTCTTTGCATGAACAAATATTTCTAGCCAAGATTCTGGGTAGAAGTGGTGAGTGGCAGCCTGAAAACTGGGACACTGGGGTTCAAGTTTAACTGGGTCACTAATGCACTGATTGCATTTGAGAAAGTTAATCGCTGGCAAGATAAGATGATTATATTATTTTGTTCTGTAGGTATACTTTAAATTCTTCTATTTAGTGATTCTCTATTGTAAAATTAGACAGAAAATGTGTAGTTTCATAATGAACAAATAAGTTTGGTGTTAGAACATTACAATAATATCTATTTCATAGTGAGTATTGACAAATTGGATATTTTAGAGTTGGATTGGAGAAGGTAATCCTAAAGCAATGTTTCTCTGCCTGGATGTCAGCATACACCCTTAGAGTTTTAGCACTGTTTTAATGTCCTCTCAATTATTATTTACTTATTCTTTGGGAAAAAAAGTGTTATCTAAGGTAAAACACAAACATGTATTTTAAAGTGAAACTTTGTTATAGGGTTTTTGGGATATTTTTTCTAATGTGAAATACAATAAGTACACTAATAAATTTAAAGCAATTTGCTTGGATATATGCTCCTAAATCATCTTTACCTCACTTTGGGAAGCAGCAACGAAGGACATCTTTATCTGCTCAATATGCCATATTCTAAATGGGTCCTGCTTTTAAGCAGTAATAAGCAGAGAAATAAGTTAATGCTCATGATCAGGGGAAAATAAACTCCAATTTTAGGAAAGAATCAACACTAATATCTTAATAATTCTGCTTTGATATGTGAACTGGGATTATATCTTGTAAACCCGTAACTGCAAACTTGGTGATACTGGTGAACTATAAGAAGCTTCCATGTTACAAGAAAGCATTTTGACATATAATCACTATAATTTTAGACATTTGTAAGGCCCAAATTTATGATAATAATAAGCAATTTTTGAAAAGTATACTAGATTTCATACTATAAAAATGACAATAATTTCTCATAAAGAACTTTCAAAACATTGACATCTACAACTCTTGTGCTTTATGTTCCAGGGACAGAAGACACAGATGCCTCCACTTTGTAGTTCTTTTTAAATTTATTCACTTTCAACTGTCCCCTCTTTTGAGATTCTTACGACAGGGAAATCAAGAGTCAGAAGAATTCCTTAATACCTTCAAGCACTGTAATTTCCAGATATTACTCTCTAAGTTTGAAAATGACAACTTAGGTCTTTGTTGAAAGTTACACCTAAAAGAATTAAAGTAAACAAAGAGATGTCAAAAGCGTGGGATTATTTTTGTTACCATTAGATTTTGTCTAGATATTCTTTAGTGTGGTTTAGAGGTCAAAATACTTAATCCTGGCTCCGCTGGCCAGGCAACTCTTGGAGGCCCTTTTTCTAGCTCCCTGATTTCACATTTATCTTTCTTTGTAGCATTGCACCCTGAATCTGTTGGGCAAGAGGTAATTTATACACATATTTTATTTCTTTATGCCCAGTAGTGGTTACATCTCAGAAAACCAAAATGCCATTCTCTGGAAGCTGTTGTTCTGCTTTGTTTTTTCCTTAAATATGGAATTATGTTAAAATAATATTTTATAGAAACAACATAAACACCTGACCACCTTAAAAACCAAGGAAAATGAAAACCAAAACACATTGCTTAGCACAATCTAGAATGCTTAAGAACTTAAAAACCACCAAGTTGACAATGGATAGTTACAGCTCTTTTAATAACTGTCACTTCATCGTGATTCTAAGTCGGCATCACAGCACCATGAGGAGTGTGGTTGGACTTCAAATGTCCTGGAAACCACTGCTTTGAAGGTCAAAGTCAGCCACGTTTAAGTCCCCAGCTTTCGCTACCAGCAATCATTGGCTGCAGGGGACAAACCATGGCCTTGACCTGATAAGAACCAAATGCCCACAGCCAATTCATTCCCTGTCTTGTGATCTATACCTGGCTGTTACTGGGCACCCCCCACCCCTTTGAGCATTTAACTCTCTTTAGTTTTGTGCTTTTTGCATTTCTATAGCAGTTGGCCAGCACCTTATTTTTATCCTAAGCTAATTTAGATAGAAATATATTACATATTTTCAGATACTCTTACTCATTAAATGCTTAGGGCTTATTTGTTTGAGATGCTCAGCCAATGAGCTTTCGTCAGGGCTTTTAGCCTTTTACCCCAGGAGGGAACACTTTGAATTTGTTTCAAAATTCTCTTTTTTTCATTTGCCTTTTCTTTTCCTATGAGTCTGTAATTTAGTTCTGCTGACACAGTTGGTTAACCCCATACTGCGGAGCTGATTAAGCATACTTTCTAAAAATGTCTATTCCTATTGTTGGTATTAATCAGCATTTTGGGGGGATATATCACTTTCTTTTGGCTTGTTTATCAAAATCTTTCCACCCCAGTCATTTTCGATGGACATTGTTAAAAAGCTACATACCTCATTCTTTTTAAGATACGATAGTTCTCACTGTACCATCTCTAACGTGCCTGCTATATTAGAATGATTCCAGAGAACAGTAAGTGTCTGGAGAGATTCTATCAAACCTTGGATGTGCCAGAACAAATGTGAGCCACAGTCAGGTTCCTGCTCATCCCTGTGCCCAGGGACCATTCACTTGCATGGCAGATTCCCTCCTACAGAACCCTTTCTTGAACGATCTGGACTGTTGTCATAGACGTGCTGAGGGGAGCTGCTCAGGGTCATTCTTGCACTTTATACACTGCAGTTAACCCAGACACCAAGGCGATTGTCACTGTCCTACTGGTTTTAAAAGTTCTCTTGAAACTTTTAAGAACACATGAGGTCCACAAACAGTTTCAGAGTTTACCTACTTTTCTTTCTGTCACTGATATTTTCTGGATTGCAATTAAAAGGCAAGTCTGTTGCAAATTTCACACATCAGTCTTTTCACTCTGTTCTGCTGTCAGGTTGCCCTTCTCACTAAGGTCACCACGTGCCATGGCTTGTCCAGCCAATCTCAGGTTGACTGAGCATTTGACTAACGTTTGGGTCCTGTGGCCTGTAATTGGTAAGGCTTCACCAACTTTTTCAGTTTTGCACTGTTTGTTTAGAACAGGGTTATTCAGGTGAAGTTAATTAGCTGACCTAAACAAGTCTTTGGTATTCAGGGATAAAATGGAGAATTTAATTTTTGTCTCTAATTTACTAAAGCATTTCACAGTGGGTAAAGCATGCCCTACTCCTAGGCCTAATGTGTTACTTTACTCCACCAAACCCTCTGAGTACATGTCATCATCTCCACTTCTCAAGTAGAGTTTGAAGTTACACAACTGTTTGGGATCAAAGGTTGCATACTGCGTCATGGCATCAATCCGGAAAAGTCTCTGTACCTGTGTCAGGTGATTATGCTAAACATTTGGGGGAGAGGGCAGGAGAAAAAGTGTGAAAACATGTCCTTTCGCTTGAATCTGTTCACTCTTTTCCTTTGTCCCCTATCATCTACTATAAGACTAGAATCAGTCAGTCCCCAGGAAAACAGCCCCAGAGAGGGCTGCTATTTCGCGAGTCCAGACATTTTGAACTGGTTAAGCATTTCCAATGGGAAACACGTGTGTCTCTGTATTTCCAAGTGATTTTTTGTTGTGCAAATACTATTTTTTTTGAAAAATCACACTCAAAATTATACATCGAATGCAAGGTTATACAGCTTTATTACAATTCTTCCGTTCTGCAAATATAATATTTGTTTTATTCCTGTAGTTGATTTTTTGCATTTAAAAAAACTAAAATAGAGACATGAATCAATTGATGACATATTCTAGTATGGTTCTCAAGAAGACAGCAATTCAAACTTTCCATTTAAAGAAAGAGAAGAAACTGCTCTTGGGAAGTATCAGTTAACCGGCAGGAGTCCTTCACGGAGCGATTACCATGGGGCTGAGCAGTATTCTCTCTCTAATTATAAAAGTGCGCTAATTAACTGCTTTTACATCTCATCTTTCTGTCTTTCTGTCTAAATTCACTTCTAATTATATGGTGCTCTTTTTGCATATGACATATCCAACAGTATTGCTTTTATCAGATATGAATTTTTTTTACTTGGAAATATTAAAGACATAGTTTCACTTCCAAAATACTTTCTCCTACAGAATAGTGAAAGCTTTTGATTGGAGGTTGAATGATCTGTCATGTTGAGGGAAGGGAGGGATCAAGATTTAAATAGTAGACATATCTGTTTTGCAAAAAAGAATTGCAAAAACAATCAGCCTTGTCATGGTTTCTATTTTTTTTAATCAGTTAAGCAGACGGAGCCAAGCTGCCCACCCACCACCATCATCACTGTCATTGTTACTGTGTTTTCATTTCCAGAATTTCAAAAACGGTAATGTATTGAAAGATATTTTAAGTATAGCGTAATAAAGAAAGGTTACTGGGTCATCAGAACCTATTTTTTGTGTGATCAATTTGCATTCTGTATTGTGCAGGCAGGCGTAAAACAAAAGCAACAATAACAACAAATGTGATTTTGATTCCTGTATTTCGATTGCCCTGGGCTTGTTGAGCAAACAGAAACGAAAGTCACATCACTTTCTGTGTGAGGAGAGCGAGTCTTGCTCAACTCCCCAAAGCAGGAACTTTCACAAGGGTGGGGTGTGCTTGTGAACTGGTGGTAGTTGCGGGGACGCTACACCTTTGGGAAGCCTGAGGCTTTGCTTCCAAATACACGCTCTTGTGTTGGAGCAGCTGTTAGTCTGACTTCAACTTTACTTCTGATCACACTTTATTGATTATGAACTTTAATGCACATGCATTCATTCAATGTTTATTTGCTTTCAAAGAAAGCTTAGAGAATAATTCATAGCATTTAAAGAAACATCTACTACAGTGCTGGAAGCTTCTGTGAACTTGAATAAAATCTGCTCTGCAGCATTTAAGGCACATATGACTATGTGGACCAAACAGTTTGACAACTCAGGCTGAGGAGGGGGGAGAAGAAGGTGTGTGTAGGGGGTGCTGCTTGGAAAACAAGAGGGAGCATTTATTGAGGGCTTCATATGTGCCAGACAGTGGGATAGATGCTTTTATGCGCATGATTTCATTTTGGTAGCATTCAAGTCTACCGAGGGTTATTAATCAAATAACTTCAGAGTTTGTTATACCTTTTACATTAAATTGCACTGAGCTGAAAATTTAGATTTTTCTGCCATCAGTTTCACTTTTATGCCTGGCCACAGAATCATTTACACCCATTCAACTCCAGATACCCAATTACCCAGGAAACTAAGGATATAGTCAGCGTCTCAAGAGCCCTGTGGGGGCACTTCTGCAACTTGAGGCATTAGAGCTTCTTCATTATTTGGACAGAGACCCCTTCCCACCCTTCCTCCCTACGCCCTTGGGCCTGAGGCACCTCATCTGGAAATCAAGAGGACTTGTCTCTATTTTTGATGTTCCTTCCAGCCCTACCTGATGATTTGTGAATTTCGTATTTGATTCTGCTGATGCCAAATATTTATAGCTGAAAGGGGAGGGCAAACTAATTATAAACAGAATTTTCCCAGCCAAAATCTCAAGGGGTTCAAGAGAAATGATTTCAGTGCTCTAACAATCAGAAATACATTCTTTAGTGGCAATTATAAAATACCCTGAGAGACAAAAAGTTTATTTTTTAAAGATTTTGTTTATTTATTTTTAGAGAGAGGGGAAGGGAAGAAGAGAGGGAGAGAAACATCAATATGTGGTCGCCTCCCTCATACCCCCAACTGGAGACCTGGCCTACAACCCAGGCATGCGCCCTGACTGGTAATCAACCATCGACCCCCTGGTTTACAGGCCTGCACTCAATCCACTAAGCCATACCAGCCAGGGATAAAAACTTTTTTCTTCTACCATTTTAGTTATAGTAAGTTATGCAGTGAAAAGTTTCTAAAGGGGTATATCAATACTCCTCATATCAAGCCATTGCAGATTGAGGTTTTGTTGTTGTTGTTGTTATTGTTGTTGTTTTAACTTGAGCTGTGTGCTTTGGGATAGGAAACTATCCCTCTCTAGGCTCAATAAAATAATGTTAATACCACTTTTTTGAAAATGGTGTTCTGATGTTTAATCAATGTTCATAAATCTCATCAGGATCCTCACATGATAATTGTGACATAAAGTACAAAGTATTACTGTTGGAATGGGGTAATTTTATTCAATTAAATCTCCTCTGAGCTATCACCTGGGTAGGAAACTGTTATTACTTTGCAAATCACTTTGTACTTACGTTTCCTCATGCTCTCTAACCATGAGCAAAAGTCTCATCAAAAGTGACTTATTAAAATAGATTTAGTATTTGTAACATTGACTTTGATGGGGCCTTACACTGAAGAACAATATGCTCTAGTGCTGCACTTAGGTCAGGGCAGAAGGACCCAAGCCTCTCTGAGGATGCATCTCACACAATGCCATTATCATTCTTGGAGCAGCTGTATAATTAATAACTGAACATAGCATGCCATTAATTTGAATGGGATCACAGGAGACTTGGAATTTTAAGCTAGGAATCAACTTGGTCTATGAGATTTGTCCCAGTTTCTAGAGACTGGATTTTCACAATTGGTTGGTGGTGGTTGCTGTTTAAAATGTAGCCAGCCCTTCAAAACCCGTTGCCAAACATGGACTTGATACACAGTGTATCCTAGCAAGCACTAGAAGTTACCAGTCATGTTTTAAATAAGTCAGTCTACACATGCTTTTCCTTAATTAATGTATTTACCCAATTATATATTGATTACCCATGTGATGGGCTGGATTAAAAAAGATCTAGAGAGATGGCAGGAGGGTGGGAATTGTGTGATCAGCAGTGGTTGCCTTTCTGGCCAGTCCAAGCATCACTTAGCCCCCGCTTTTACGTTGGAAGTTGTTCTAGAGAGCTATGTTGTCACACTGAATGAAAATGACTCCCCACCCCCACCTCAGTCCACAGCTGGGGTCAATTCATCAGGCATTCCATGAGCTTATTATATTCAAGGATAAAAGAGGCATTTATGATAATTAACATAGAAATGAGTAAAAATGGCTCATATTTTAGGCCTCAAATTTTTGAAGTTTGTATGGCAAGTGAAATGAGAAAATTCCATCAGTTTAGTGTATGTAACTGCTTAGATATTTCAGTAATAATTGTGTCCTTTTCTTCTTTCCCAAACCCTTTCAGATCAGGTCAAAATTGTAGTGACTATTAAAAACTGAATAAGTGTGCCAGGAAGTAAAAGAGTAAACTATTAAAATGGTATTTAACAACAAATACTGAAGAAAAAGAAAAAATCTATAATCTCACCATCCAAACATAACTGAGAACAATTTCTTCAAATGTGTGTTTTTATAGAATCATGTGCTTTTGCTTTCCATTGCAATTAAGCCTTTGTATTAAGCCTTTTTTTCAAATTTTTACATAAATTTTGTATCTATTTTTAATGTCTGCCCGATATTACAAAGCCTAGGTACACCTTCATAGAGTGAAGTACACCCCATTTTTGGATATTTAGTTTCTCCCTAGTTTTTTCCTTTTTTTCACTATTGTAAATGAAGCTACAGGGCATATGGTGTGTGAATGTGTGGATTTCCTACATTTTTAGATAGATATCTTGAAGTTAGAATACTAGGTATTTAAAAAATATTAAATATTTTATGGGTTTTAAAAAATTTTTTTTGCTGATTTACCCATCAGCCTTGGGCATAATTATTTTCCCTACCAAAATTTGTAGGTAAAAAAAAAATCCTTATTTTTAAAATTGCATTTTACTACATGCAAATTTTCACATGCTTCTATTGGGTAGTTCTTTTCCTTTCTTTTTAAACTGTACCTTCTTTGTGGATTTCTTTATTAGGGACATTGTAGCTTTGAAAATTCACAGCCCTCTTTCTTATAGAAGCAATACATGGAGTCAACATATATGATGTTTTTGAAGAAATATTAATGTAATCTTTTAAAGTTTATAAAAATAAAAAGACACATCTAAAACAGCAGATTTATCATAATTATGTGTATATTTCAGTATTCCTAGGGGGAAATTCAACAGAAATACACAAACATTAATTATAGTTATTATATGGTGAATAATATTTACTTTCTTTTTCCTACTTTTCTATATTTTCAAGGTTTTTAAAATGAATGTGCACTTTTTTTTTAATCAGAACAGCAGTTATGTGGAGATTTTCTTTTCTCTCAGTTCTATTCCTTTTTTACTTGGATGTTTCCAAGGCATTTCATTGAAACTGGTGAGAATATGCAAATTTGGAGGCTATGCACAAGTGAAAAAGTACTTTTTGGAGAATTCTTTCTTTTGTGGAACCAAAAGTTCCTTAAGAGGTGGTTGGGAAG